CCGAGGCACCGGGATCCCCGTCCCTGCCATCGGCCACCTGAGTGGTAAGCAGCGGGGAGGTGGATCCATTGGCTCGCTGACGAAGCCAAGAGGGGACCTAGGCGGCACAGTCACATGTGGGAAAGAGTCGCGTCTCACGAAGTTTCCCTTTGCATCGTTCTCGGCCTCACATTGCATGGAACCCTTGGTACATGATTCACAGTTTCGCGCCATAACTCTCTCTATCATGAATAAGATGATGCACTGTTATGAGAAAGGCCTATAATCTTGCTATCGATTAACGCCACAAGTTGATGGGTTAAACAGCCCGGGTTCAAGGCAACTACCTATTTAAATTGAATATAACTCCTCCTATGCTCAACTCATTTTAAGATGATGCACTGCTCTGCATTTAAGAGTGCATATCCATCAGACTATCACCAATCGCTGCACCTTTTTGTAACCTAGTTGCAGGGAAAAGCGATTCAAGTTGCACTTCCCTTTTAACTTTAGCAGTTAAACGGTTCACACTTTGAGCAGAAAACTTCTAATCATCACCGGTCGCTCTCTCGATCCGCCTATAAATAGGAGATTTGATCATCACGCGGCATCATATTCCCTAGCTTCGACGTACTAAATTACATTACGAGCGGCAGAACTTGGGACTCGAGGTGCAGCTCGACATGGCGACTATCCAAAGCAAATCGACAGCACCACAATCTGTTACTGCAAGCAGGCTTCCTCCCAAGGTAATTGCACATCAAATTCTCTTTCCAAATGAAGCATTATCAATTAAGCAAGTACGTGTATATGTATGTCGACTCATTTCTCATCTGTGGTTGATCAGAAGGAGGAGCAAGAACTCCGGCGAGCCTACTCTGAAATGGCGAGCAACATGGAGAAGCTCGTCGTCGCAAGCAGCAGCAGCAGCAACCCATGCCCTGACGACGGCGCCGACGTCTCGGAGGTGGAGACGGTGCGCTGCGCGTGCTGCGCCGTGGCCGAGGAATGCACGGCGGCGTACGTGGGCGGGGTCCGCGCGGCCTTCTGCGGCGACTGGCTGTGCGGGCTGTGCGGGGAGGCCGTGAAGGAGCGGATGGTGCGGGACCCGTCCGGCGGCGTGGAGGCGGCGCTGGGGTCCCACGAGGCCGAGTGCCGGGACTTCAACGCCACGAGGCTGAACCCGACGCTGTCGCTCGCCGGGTCCATGCGGGGCATCGCGCGCAAGAGCTTCGACCGGAGAAAGACGACGACGTCGACGTCGTGCCAGGACCGCCACCTCCGCACGGCAGCGTCCAGGGCGGTGGCGCTCGCGAGGTCAGTCAGCTGCGACCCGCGGTTCCTGGCGGACGTGATTAACGGGCCGTCCGGGGAGCAGTCCCGATGAGGCCACGGCCCACAACCTCACCTGCCAGCCGGGTTTAATGATTTGTACTCGTATTTGCTAAAAAAAGACATCCATCTATTCATAAATAGCAGGAGTGTCGAGTAAGTAATACGCTTACTAAAAGAGGACATCGATTATGTAGTACTATGTGCCATCGATGTGAACGTAGCCTACGCCATACACTTCCTGTAGACAGTTTCATAGATCTTTCATGCATACAAACATATTGTGTGTATGCACGTGATGTATTCCTTTGATGCACGTGGGCAATATAGAACGTTATGTGTGTAATTATTCTAAGAAAATAAATGCTACAACATGTTTCTCAACTTGGTCGTGAAATTATTTGTTATTTTCTCCAATTAATTGACATTCTTAAATCGATCTCTAGGGAACAAGGCAATAAACAATAAACAATACTCCATCTGGTCCTTTTTACTCCGCATATAAGATTTGTTTGAAGTCAAATTTCGTAAAGTTTGACCATATTCATATGAAAACATATCAACATCCACAATACTAAAACTATACAATATGAAAATTCAATTCATGATGCAACTAATGATATTGATTTCGTATTATGGATGTTGATACTTTTTTCTATAAAGTTGGTCAAACTTTACGAAGTTTAACTTTATAAAAAACTTATATGCAGAATAAAAAGGAGAGAAGGGAGTCTTATAGTATCACTAATGTTGAATAAACCATCACGTACAACACATCTTTGGTGCTTCTAAAGAGCCCCCGAGATAAAAAAATGTCTTACATTGTTAATAGAGAACTACCTCGCAATAAAAAAAATAGAGAACCACACAAATGGGTCTCAGTGGATCAATTGTCTTTAATATGAAAATATTTGTGGTGCTTTTATATTTATTGGCAGACTTCTTATGTGAACCGTCTAAGATAGGTAATTATCAGCGGCAAGCTACAAATTATAGATTTTTAGTCTATCGTACAAATTATAGGTTTTTCTTTTGAGAAGATACAAATTATAGGTGTTTCGGCCCGCTAGTGATACCAATACAAGGCGAGCTCTTTTTCAAGCCTGCCAAATATATCTGGCGGGCCATGTCTAAAAGTCCAAAGCAATTCCATCTCTAAATATACACCCATCTCTCATATCTTCAAGAGTTGTAGCTTTGTCTTTGAAGGTCGAGGATCAAATCATGAAGCTCATAACATTGCCAATTTTTCACACTCGCTTGATCCGGGTCGTCATTTGTGGCTTATTTCACCTCATGACCATATTTGTATACCTCTAAATATTCCTCTGGATCAATAAAAATTTGGCAAACTCCTAACAAAATACCCATCTCTCATCCCTAAAAAAAATGTCCATCTCTCTCTCCATGGACTCCCCTAAAAAACTCTCTCCGGGGACAGCTATGTCTGGCTTCAAGCGGTACGTGTGCCTCGCATCGCTCACGTCCCCGCGTTGATCACTTAACTCGCTGCGGTAGGGCGGGCCAACCCATCAGCTCTGATCGCTACATTCTGTACCATAGCGCAACATGGATATGTGGTTTTTCATTTTATTTATTCCCACCGCATAAATAAACCTCAAAAATTTCGTGAATACAACAATAACTGCACGAATTTGAGATTTTGTTTTGCGAATGCGAAAAAATCATGAACTACACAAATCTTCATGAACTAGAAAAATGTTCACGAATTCCAAAAATGTTCACACTTTTTAATGAATAAAAAACGATCATGGATTTGAAAATGTTCAAAAATTAATATATTATTTGTGAATATAAAAAATCTTCACAATTTCAGAAGATGTGCATGAATTTAGAAAAATGTTCACAAATTGAAAAATAATCATGTATTGAAAAAATGTTCATGAATAATAAAATTTTATGCGAAATAAAAAATATCCATGAATTCAGGAATATTCATGAATTAAAAAATATGTTCATGAATTCAAGAACAAAATTTTTTGAAATCCCGAACAAATTTTCAAATTCCATGCTTGTTTGATTTTTTTAATTTATGAGCATTTGATTGAAATTTGAACAAATTTTAAAATTACGAACATTTTCAAAATTGCATTTTTTTTAAAAAAATTCAAGCATATTTTTGAAAAATCACAAACAAAATTTGATAACATGATTTTTTTGTCGAAATTTGATACAAATTTGTGAAGATTTTGAACATTATTTTAATTAATGAAAAAGTGAACATAGAAAAAGAAAAGAAAAAAGTGAAAAAATAACCAAAAAGAAAACCAGTAAAACGAGAAGTAGGAAAAATAAAAGGGTTCAGGAATCTTCTTCTAGAAGGTTCCTGAAGCCGGTGCCTTAGGTTCGCTTTGATTTTCTTCAAAACCGTTGAATGGGCCGGCCGAGGAGATGGCCATAGTTCGCGATCGCCATCTTAAAACTCGTAGTGAGCGATCTATATCATTGAGGTAGTCGCCACCTTGTCTTCTATCCTCTAGGGGTGTGTTTGGCTTGTGCCAATGTTGGGCTTGCCAAATAATTGGCGAACGATTTCGCCACCCACACTTCTTCAAAAAGTTGGCACAAAATTAAACTATAGTGGTACAAAAGGCTTGGCAAGACCAAAATAATCAGTGTCCATCCAAATGAGTACCCAAGGTTGGGTCGACACCAACTTTTTGGCTTGACATCTCAAGGCATCAATCTGAACAACCCTTAGGTAACGATCCTGACCAGGTCACCGTCGTCTATACACAAACCGGTTGCCACTGCCAATCGCCACCCCGTTCTGGCCTTGGTCTCAGGCACGGTGACATCATAGATGTTAGTGCTGCCCTTCGTGATTTATAACTCGAGTATCCACAACCATTCTGCACCTCTCCATACAACTTTGCTTTCCTTGTGTTGTTGACATGGCAAGACACTTTATTAAATGCTATGTTAATATGTGGTTTACACCCTTGGTATCCCTTCTTTGAGACACCAGTCAATCCAAGTTCTTCTTCATCCACATCTCTGTTGGTCTCTTGCCTTTGGCCGCTGATATAACATTATGAGGCAGAGGGAACCCCGTAAAAATGTTTAGTGTGCACTTTAGGTACCTTCTACGTTAGGTTTGTGTGTCTTTGGCGGTGGTGAAGCCAATAAAGTGAAGGCTATATTAATTGTACGGGGTATAGGTCTACTGACCATAGTGGCAACAACACAATACAATGCTTTTTAATTTTCTGTCACTATGGTAGATTACTTGCAAGATTGAACCCAACTATCACACACAAGTCCCTCTTGGAGATCATGTATCAAACTTGGCCAAAGAAAGACAAATATATTGGAGATCATACATGAATAAAAATTATGCAGCAAAGAAACCAAATTGATATAAAAAAAATTGACGGATATATCTGATCATAAACCGATAATTCATGACATTGCAACAAAAACAACACAAGAATGTATCAAATCGATCACAATAATGTAGAGCAGCTCATGTGATCTTTGTATTGAGAAGTGATGGAGAGAAAACCATCCTGCCACTGCTACGGACTCATAGCCCAAAGGAAACTACTCATGGACGATGATGGCCATCAAGTTGGTGGATATGGCCACACTGATGATTCCCCTCTGGCGGAATACTAGAAAAGCTCTAGATTGGATCACCACATAATGAGAGGCGCGCTGACAAAAACAAAATAACTCCTTGATTGATAGGGTTTTTGGAGCGAACGGCAAAATATATAAGCGCCCAAAGGCGGTGCTACCTCTTGAGCACTGCGTTGGTTTTCCCTTGAAGAGGAAAGGGTGATGCAGCAAAGTAGGTAAGTATTTCCCTCAGTTTTTGAGAACCAAGGTATCAATCCAGTAGGAGGCTATGCGCGAGTCCCTCACACCTGCACAAAACAAATAAATCCTCGCAACCAACGCGATAAGGGGTTGTCAATCCCTACACGGTCACTTACGAGAGTGAGATCTGATAGATATGATAAGATAATATTTTTGGTATTTTTATGATAAAGATGCAAAGTAAAATAAAAGACAATGAAAATAACTAAGTGGTGGAAGATTAATATGATGAAGATAGACCCGGGGGCCATAGGTTTCACTAGTGGCATCTCTCAAGAGCATAGGTATTTTACGGTGGGTGAACAAATTGCTGTTGAGCAATTGCCATAATTGAGCATAGTTATGAGAATGTCTAGGTATGATCATGTATATAGGCATCACGTCCGAGACAAGTAGACCGACTCCTGCCTGCATCTACTACTATTACTCCACACATCGACCGCTATCCAGCATGCATCTAGAGTATTAAGTTCATAAGAACAGAGTAACACCTTAAACAAGATGACATGATGTAGAGGGATAAATTAATGCAATATGATAAAAAAACCCGTCTTGTTATCCTCGATGGCAACAATACAATACGTGTCTTGCTGCCCCTACTGTCACTGGGAAAGGACACCGCCAAGATTGAACCCAAAGCTAAGCACTTCTCCCATTGCAAGAAAGATCAATCTAGTAGGCCAAACCAAACTGATAATTCGAAGAGACTTGCAAAGATAACCAATCATACATAAAAGAATTCAGAGAAGATTCAAATAATGTTCATAGATAAACTTGATCATAAACCCACAATTCATCGGTCTCAACAAACACACCGCAAAAGAAGATTACATCGAATAGATCTCCACAAGAGAGGGGGAGAACTTTGTATTGAGATCCAAAAAGAGAGAAGAAGCCATCTAGCTAATAACTATGGACCCGAAGGTCTGAGGTAAACTACTCACACTTCATCGGAGAGGCTATGGTGTTGATGTAGAAGTCCTTTGTGATCGATGCCCCCTCCGGCGGAGCTCCGGAACAGGCCCCAAGATGGGATCTCGTGGAGAAAGTTACGGCGGTGGAATTAGGGTTTTGGCTCCGTATCTGATCATTTAAGGGTACGTAGGTATATATAGGAGGAAGAAGTACGTCGGTGGAGCAATAGGGGGCCACGAGGGTGGAGGCGCGCCTGGGGGGGGGGGGGGGGTAGGTGCGCCCCCTACCTCGTGGCTT